CCTCTCCCCCCCCCCCAACTTTCTTGATGCAAGTCTTAGCCACATTTTTCACTATCATTACAAAATGTTCTGGTCTTCTGTTTGTGTTTTTTTACAATTTGGAATGGAATGAAGTAGAGAGACCCAAATAAGAGGACAGAAAAATAGTGGATGGCTTTTCAACTTGTGTCTCTAATTTTTTTAGAAAAAATAACAGTTGCATAACTTCTCTGAGTTTGCATACATAATGGCAATAATTCCCAAGAGAGAAAGTGGGAATTTAGATTAGAGTGGGATGGAAGTAATTTTGAATCTGAAATGAAGGCCATCCTTCATAATACAGGGCCATTTTATGCTGTGCTTGTGTTTGTGGGATGATATGTGATGGCCATTGTTGCATACAGTATTTCACTGAGAGTTTTCATTATGATCACGTAAAAGCTTTTTTTAAAAGGAATAAATAAAACATTAATCACAAAGTAATTTACTTTCTGGTTTGTGTTTATAAATGAGTATAAAATTAGAACTATTCAAATCCAACTGCTAATGGAAGTACTAAATGTTACGGCAATTGCCCATAACTCTGATTTGTAGGGGATATTAGAATAACTTTCTATGTCTTGAGCCACCTTTTACAGAACTCTAACCTAAGGTTAGGAAATAACAGCTGAATGTCACTGCTTGATTTCCCAGTGAAGTTGCCTTCAAATCTGATGTTTGATGTCAACAGATTTGAAAACCTTTGCCTGCACTTCTGCCTGGCATTTGTCTTCTAGGTACCTTTTTAAGCTGTTCCATAAATTGTTGGTGTTTACTAAAATATTGTCTGAAATACTATATTGAACAAAACAAGAAGCCTTTGGAAGTAATCTTATAATACAGAATGTCCTGCTTAAGAGGTGTACTAAAGAGGGGAATGACTTAAAATACGTTGTCCATAGACCTCTGATAAAGAATAAACGGGTTGCGTAAAGATTGAGCCCTAAAGAGAAACAGATACTACATGTGAAGGAGCATTCCGAACTAAATGTTGTTTTAAATGGCGTGCTAGTGGTTGAGCTGGAAAGAGCTGTTCCAGGGTATTTATGAAAGCGATAATCTGATTGAAGGATTGCCAGTTACCTTGCATGCCAGTCTACAAAGAATTCATTGCTCTGAAGCTGTCTTTATCACAGATATCTGTTGAAGGCTGACTCTTTGCATATAAAGTTGAAATGCCTCACCCTCCCTTTCAAAGGTTTGGGCAGCCTTGCCCCGACTACATTTCATATCGCCTTGCTAGTGCTTTGCCCTCCGTTCTTGTTCCCTGTGCTTCTACTGTACTCTTCCTAGGTCTCTCTTCACATTGCTCCACGTGACTAGAATGGCATCCTTTATCCTGTGCTGCTCCGTCAAATCCTTCCTTCTTGAAAACCTACTCTTTCCCTGGTTTCTACTCCTCCTCTTGCTTTACCTCAGTCTCTTTAAAAGAATCAGAAGGGACATGATTTGTTCATTATTTGTATTAACCCTCATCCCTCCTTTTGTCCCGTGTTTGTCTTATTTCAGACTAAACTCTTCAGGCAAGAATTAAAATATTTTTACTCTCAAAAATGTCATGCAAATATATGATGTGTTATAAATGTTTAACAACAATCTGTTGCTTTCTCTCCTAAATTCATACCAGCAGTTGACATATCAATATCCACAGCTACATATAGGACCCTACCAAATTTACAGTTCACTTTGGTCAATTTCACGGCCACTGGGTCTTAACATTGGTTAATTTTACAATTTCAGATATTTACATCTGAAATTTCAGTGTTGTAATTGGGGGGGGTCCTGATCCAAGAGGGGATAGTGTGTGTGGTATGTGTGTGTGTGCTGTTAGGCTGGTTGCAGGATTGCCATACTCACTCCTGGCTCTGAAAGCAGCACAGCTCTGAAGGTAGCGTAGCAGCTGCCGAGTTTCCTGCAGCTGGAGAAGGCTCCCAGAGGTGGAGGTAGGTCTGATCTCCCCAGTGCTGCTGGGAGCCTCCCAGCCCGGGGATCCTACCTGCTAGTCAGGGCCAGTGGTGGATTAGTATATGGCCCCATGCCCAGGGCCCCTGGATAATTTGAAAAATGGGTGACCCAGCCCTGGCAGGAGCTGTGGGGGCTGAAGTCCCAAGCTTGGGCACCCTGAGCCTGGGCAGAAGCTGAAGAGGGGGACAGAAGCCCCGACCCTGGGTGGCCCAGAGTCTGGGTAGGAGCCATGGGGGGACAGCAGCCCTGAGCCCCAGCTGGAGCCATGGGCGGGGTGAAGCTTGGAGCTTGGGCAGGAGCTGCGGGGGGTGAAAGACCCAAGTCCTGGCAGGAGCCGTGGGGAGTGGCAGCCCCCAGCCCAGGTTCCCTGAGCCGCTGGCAGGAGCTGCTGGGGGTGAAATCCTCAAGTCCTGGCTGGACCCCAGGTAGGAGCCATGGGGTGAGGGGCAGCTCCAGGCTGGGCAGGAGCTGTGGGGGCTGGAGGTCTGGGAGGTGGCAGCCAATGTTCCCTCTAATTTTTCCCATGCTCCCCCGCTGCAGTCCTGAGCACCTGCGTGGCACTTAATAGGCTGCTGCATGGCTATGCAGCTTAGAGGGAACTTAAGTGGCATGCTCCCAGCCCCAGCAGGAGCTGTGGGGTTGGGGCAGCACCCAGTCCAAGTCCCTGAGCCCTGGCAGGAGCTGCAACTACTACACCCCCGGCAGGAGCTGAGAGAGCTAGCGGGAGCAGCAGCCTGGAGCCTGAACTCCCAGAGCCGAGGTGGGGGTGGCGGTGGCAATGGGCAGAAGCTCCAGCGCTAGGGTGCCCTAGCCTGGGCAGGAGCCTCAGTTGGGAGTAGGGCACCCCGAGGCCCGGCAAGAGTTGCCCGGGGCAGCAGCCCGGAGCTCGGCAGAAGTGAGGGTGTACCACTCATTTCTGCACTGCCTGTGGAGGTGGGTCAGATCTCCTGCCATAACAGCCATGCAGGGGAAGGACAAGTCCTGTCCCTCCCCAGCCCACCTGACTTTGGAGAGATAAGATTTCATAGAGAAGGGCTTATTTCACAGTCTGTGACTTGTTTTTCACGGCCATGAAATTGGTAGGGCTCTAACTATATACTACTGTAATTTGAGGGGAAACGTAAATACATTTAAATTAACTCTGGCGTTTGGGATAAGGGTGTGTGTATGTGTGTTTTCTCAAGCATAAAGATTTGTTTATGCAAACTAGTCCCAACATTACTAAATTGTGAGCTTCTAGTAATGATAAAGCTGCAGTGCAGGTCTGTAGGACTGTATTGCTGCTTGAACTATAAAATGCTAATTGTATCTATAGGCACTACTTTGTATTGATTGCTATTGGCTCCTCTCACTTGGTCTTGATCTTGAGCAGGTCAGTAAACATTTGTGAAAGGTGGTAGTAAGAGTATGTTAAAAGCTAAGGAGAAGGAATGAAGTTGCTTAAAATAAGTATGCGTTTCTTCAACAGGAGGTTTTCTCCTTGAAAATATGATAAAGGGCTTTCCATATTCTGAATTTTATAATGCATTAATCTATCTGGAGAAATTTCATAGGAGTGTGAATTAGAGCAGTAAGGATTTTTTTTTCACGAGAATACACAACGCTTTTATCCTGAGCATTTCTCCTTTTGTAATGCAGACTTGCATTTTGTGAGCTTGCACAGTGCAGAAGTCATTTTTTATTCTAAATGTTTCTATTTTTGTGATTCTATCTCCTGTAGAGGGTTTCTTGTTCTCAGATGCAATCTTTGCAGTTTATCGATTTTTACTATTTTAATAACATTTAGATCGGCAGCTTGGTTTTCCCTTTTTCTCTGCACAACTATTTCTGTGCAGGGCAGTGAAGTACACATTGTATTTTAAAAGACATACTTCAGGTTGTGTAATGTTTTAGTTAGAGCGGAGTCTGGGTGTTGAGCTCCAAGCAAGATAACCCCCTCTTCTCCAGTCATTTCAAAAATATAACCAAGAGCCTTCTGGGTTTTTCAATAAAGTAAAATTTATATTAGTTTTTAGCTTGCCTTCTAAGATTGTGTTAGGCAGAATGGATTGTATTAATTTGCAGTGCTTATTTCTATGCCCTATTTCCATCTGTAACACAATGATACTTGAAGAGAAATAAACAAATGTTTTCACTTAATATATGAAATGTTTTGGAGAACTTAGGAGTAAGCACTGCTGTAAGAAGAGTGTTTAGACAGCTGAGTCATGATTGCAAAGTGTGTCAGCTGGGCTTGTGCAAATTCGTAATATCTGCAATTTAGAAAACCACTCACCAAGTAATGTAACCATAGTTCTCTGAAAGGGATAGTTTGTTTCAAAACAAATTTTCATAAGATTTGCGGTAATATGATTTGTTGCTGTCTAAAATGATTTGTTGCTGTCTAAAAACTAAGGGTGTATCTAGTTGGAGCCTGCTTCTAGAGGCCTGTCTACTCTATTGTACGAAATTGACTGGTGGGTGAAAAAGGTTCCCAACAGAGGTCCCCATGAACTGGTAAAACTGTTAGAGTAGAAAGGACAAAAGTTTCTCCATCAGCATTTCCATTATATTGTTGGAAACTCTTTCCACTGGGGTTTGTATAATGGCTAACAATGGAGACCTCATCCTGATTGAGGACTCTGGGTGCTACCTCAACATGCATATTAAAGAGTAATAGTATAGCAACTTTCAACACTGATTCAGGGGGACTGTTGCTGACATCCCTTGTCAGACGCAGGTCAGCTGCCTAGTGTAGGTGCATCTTTGGAGGAGGGAAGTGTCTCACGTTGCACTGCAGTGCCCCTTTTTGTTGGCTCATGTGTGTCATTGACAAGTTCTGAAGGGAGCTCTGTCCATCTTTCCTTTGCTGGAGTGATAGTCTTGCAAATTGGTGGACTGAAATAAGGATGTGAAATTCTTTGGCTTGGAGGATGGCTAGTTGGAAGAAGGAGGAAAGTAATGAAGAATGAATTGCTTTTGTATTGCAGGACTTGCTGCTTTATTTTCAATAGTAATTTGTTTCCCTTACTTGATAGGATGTTTCGCCTTCGAGGTCTTGCTGCCGTGGCAGGCTTAGAGGCTGTTTCCCGATGTTACCATGGAATGGCACATCCCACCAGAAGCAGGCAAAGACTTATGATGGCAGCTTTCATAGGAACAACTGCAGCTACAGCAAGTGCTGGACTCCTATGGAAGAGGTAAGTGCTCTCAGGAGTCATTCTTGAACAGAACTTCAGCCTTCTGCTGCTTTGGTCCTGCTTTGGTCCCCTGAAGAAATTAATGTGGAGTGAATTTCACCTTGATCGTAGAAGCAACAGAAGACTATGCAAGGCAGCATTACTGCCTTGAGCTCCATTGTGTGAAGAGCAGCAGCTATTGAATGGACATGCATCTGTATCCCATATCCTACATGCAATAGAATTAGGCTCCAAGGGTGTTGGGGAGATGAGCAGGAGTTTGACTAGATTCTGTGGTTACATGGATCTACTGGACACAACCCTTCGAGGTTTCTAAGAGTTGTCACCCTTATTCTAGCTACAAAAGGGCTCTGGAGCTGTCATGCCTTGCCCACTGACTGGGAAGCAGATCATGTATTGTGGCACAAAGTCTAACTAATATATCGTGCTTTCACCTCTTAGGAAGCCTAGTAGGATATAAGTGTCATAAAATAAGACTGATGTTTCATAAAATATGAACTTTAAGCATAAATAAAAAGCCCACTTGCTGCTTAATGCTGAGAGATTTTTGTACTCTCTTGCACCATGTTAGATTTCATTTGAGGAGTATTAGCTGAAAATGTATAGTGCAAACTGCAGCTGTAGCATCAAATACTCTTCTTTATTCATGCTTCAGATGAGGCACGAAGGTTACTTTGTGACCAGTGTAAGACACCATGAAATTACATTTTCACAATAGTGAACAGTGTATAGAAATACTCAGGGTGGCACTAAATGAGCCTCAATTGACTCTGGTTATGTTCCATGCTCTAAACAAAGCAAGCAGTAAATGTTCTTTAGCTTCTAGTTGAATTAAATGTGAAAGCTGTCAGGAGCCACTGTTATCACTGTATGCTCAGGCTCACTACTGTGCAGATACCTTGATTAGTCCAAAGGTGATAGTATCATTGAGAGCGTATCTTATTTTCAATTCTAATATTTAGGTATTACTTTATGATCTTATTTTCCAACACAGTAGGTACACTTGCCTCTTATTCGGAATTATGGCAAGCTGTGAGAAGCAGTAATGTAATGTCTCATAATTGTTGTGTACTGTTTTCTGTTTTGGGCAAGGGAGCCTACTTAACATAAACAGAAAAAGTTGTTCACTGTTTTTGCCATTCCTATAATTGGCAAGACTTAAGCTCCTTGCTAAAAGGTGTCATCAAAAACCAGGGGGAAAGCACCATGATCCAGCACAGTCTCTTCTGATGTTACCTGTTAAAATTAATCTGGTTTATATAGTGCCTTTCAATTTGAAGGACCCCAGAGCACTTTACAGACGTTATAAAATCATGCAGCCAGCAGTGAGGTGGAATGCTGCAGCCATTCTGTGCCGATAACAAAGATGACTGTACTGTTATATATCTCCTTTTTGGGTGAGGAAGTGAATAGTCTCTCCATTTAAAACTACAGTGAGAATATTTTAAGTGCACATAACATAATTACCTAAATTAGGTTTTTGGCTAGGACACTGTAAGTTCATAGCTCTTTTGTGGAAAATGTCATAAAAATAACCAAGCTGTCAGGTATTAAATTTTATATCTCCTCTGAAGGATGGCACTTCCAGCAGCACACAGAGAGCTGACAAAATCGCAAACATAAGTGGTGTGGCAGAATACAGGCAACAGTGCAGCCTGGGGCCCAGGATTCCCCAAGTTCTAATAATCCCAGATATGCTGCTAATTTTTTAAAATTTTTCTTCCTCTGTCTATTTCTTAACTAGCACAGATAGGTTAATGTTTGTAAAGCCCTTTCACTTACCCTGGCGAGCCGCGTGCCAAAGGTTGCCAATCCCTGGTCTAGATAATAGTTATTCCTGCCATGAGTGTAGGGTACTGGACTAGGAGACCTCTTGAGGTCCCTTCCAGTCTGACGATTGTATGTTATTATTTACTTGGCTGTTTAACCCAAGAAATCATATTACCATTACAATGACAAGTTGTTTTGGTGTAGAAAATAGTTTATACTGATGCTACAAAATATTAAATAGACTGTTTCAAATAAAAACATTTTAACTTTGTGTTTAAAAATAAATGAAAGAAAAGAAACCCTACAATGTAGTAAAGTTCTTTTTCAGTTCTATAGTGCTAATCTTATTGGTCATTTTCACTTGAACATGCCAAGCCACCAGCAAGAACCTTAACTGTGAAGTGGTTCAAGAAATGAGTTCAGCTGAATATATTTGAACATGAATAGATGCTGTGTTGTGCATACCACTGCATATCATACAATAAGTATAATTGAACTACTTATAAATAAGATGTTTAGCTGAAGGAACCAATGACATTACAGATGGAGGTGGTGTAGCAGCAATGTGGTCGACATCTTGAGAAAGATGTGGACACACAGTGTCCAGAGAACAACTCAAAGGATAACAAGTTTAGATAACATGACCTATCAGGAAACTTTACAAAACAAACAAAAAAACCAAAAACAAAAAAACCGAACTAGGCATGTTTAATCTTGAGACAAGAAGACCTGGGGGAGGGGAAAAGGGAGTGGGGAAGAAACTGATCTTCAAATATGTGAATGATGATAAATTGTTCCTCACATCCACTGATGGTGGGACAAGAAGTAATTGGCTTAATGTACAGCAAGGGAGATTTAGATTAGTTATTAGGAAAAACTTTCTGTCTATATGGATAGTTAAGTACTGGAATAGGTAACCAAGGGAGGTTGTGGAATCCCCATCTTTGGAGGTTTTTAAGAACAGGTTAGAACAGTGATGGGCAACCTGTGGTCTGCACGTGACCCATCAGGGTAATGCACTGGCAGGCCGTGAGACAGTTTGTTTACATTGACGATCCGCAGGCACAGCTTCCCGCAGCTCCCAGTACCGAAGTTCACTGTTCCCAGCCAATGGGAGCTGCGGGAAGCGGCACTGGTTGCAGGGATGTGCTGGCTGCCACTTCCCGCAGCTCCCGTTGGCCTGGAAAGGCAAACTGCAGCCACTGGGAGCTGCAGGCGGCTGTGCCTGCGGACAGTCAATGTAAACAAACTGTCTCGCGGCCTGCCAGTGGATTACCCTGATGGGCCATGTGCAGCCTGCGGGCCACAGGTTGCCACCACTGGGTTAGACAAACACTTGTCAGAGATGGTCCTGCCTCTGGACAGGACCATCGATGAGATTGCCTTTTGAGGGCCCTTCCAGCCTTAAATTTCTATAATTCTATATATAATGCATGCAGTGGGACTATTTTACAGTGGAAATTTTTCCCATAGAAGAATTTCACTCAAAGCAACATTTCACGGTAGCAGTTGCAGTTTGTATGTTACAGTGCATTGAAACAATTTAGGACTTGCATTCTGTTATATCCAAAATTACTTTTTCACAAATGGTATACATATAAATACATAAGCAATTAATGAAGCAAATCAAGATTATGTAAGATTTAAGGGAACACTCTCCAAGCTGGGAACAGTAGTTGTTTTTAAAGTGCTTCTTTGCATAAACTGTTCTGTTAAGACAGTTAACCTTCTGTAGAGATGATCTAATACAATGCTTGTTTTCCTTCAATTAGTTAAGCAAATATACTTTCATTGTTATATGAAACCTTGCTGTGCTGCGAAGCTGAAGACTTCTGGGGGGTTCTGGATCTCTTTCTTTTATCATAACAAAGAAGCCTGCTGCCTTTGATGGTATGTGACCCTAATAAAGGGTGTCTGCAAAAAGAAAAGGAGTACTTGTGGCACCTTAGAGACTAACCAATTTATTTAAGGGTGTGTGGTTTCTAATATTCTGATTAACCTTGAATGATCTATGCTTGAGGCCGTGACACTTCATCATGAACTAAATGAGATGCCCTATTCTGATCCTTGTCAGCAAAATGTCAGCTGTAATGCTTTCCTTAAAAAAGGTGACTTTAAAAAAAAAAAAATTACGGCACGCAATGTAGAACATGTAAATAGTAATATCCTGAAAGGCTTTTTAGAGTTCAGTCTGCTTCCTCCATAATCATAAGGATTTATTTAGTCTCTTAGGAAAATGAAAAGCTATTTAAAGGCGTATCAGTGCTTGGTGGTACTGCCATGTAGGAGTGTTCAGGTCTGGTAGTGACTGAAAGAAGATCTTATGCTTATCAGCCCTTTGGAAAGCTGGGGCTTCGGAGGTGGTGTTTTCAGTTATTGAGGAAGGACAACAGTGGAGAAAAGGAGGGCATCTGACCTGCAACACTTTCTAGAATTTGAAAGTAGCTTTGTGACATAGCCTTTGCTGACTATGGGAATTATTCCATTTTTACATGAGGCATGTGTGGATTATAGGAAATCCCAGGTATAGGAAATAGAGTTGTGCTATAATTGGGATAAGGAAGTGAATGCAATCATTTCAGGATCCCCCACCCGCACCCAACTGCCTTCTTACGTTGAATTTCTGAATATGTAGGAATCGCAAGCAAATCCTTTTGGAATGTTTTTTGCTCAGTAGGTAAGGGATTGCTCATACTTGGATGCCTGGACAACCCCTTCCCCCCACCAAAAATATAAAGGACAAAATAAAAGCTATACAAAGAGATAATTCAAGGTCAGGTATTTTAATGCATTGCCAAGTATGCTAAGGATTACATTTTTTTCCCCCCAAGGAACTGATAAAATTAACACAAACTAGACAGAGTTAATCAAAGACAAATAGCTGTTGATTGTATCTCTGAATTCTGTGTGGGTTTTTCCAATAGTAATCCTACTGGCTCTTTAGGAAAAACACAGTTCTTAAATATATCATAAAGGCAGAGTAGCCTCATATTTGTTAAAAATAATTGCCTTCAACTACTAATTATTAATCTAATGTGTTTATCTCTGTAGCTAAGCTGTAGCCACAATATTTTTCAAATGTCACTTTCCTAGTCTCTTGGCTAACTTGTCAGATGAATCACAGATGGCAATGGGGAGAAAGAAATACTTAATAAGGCTACATCATAAAAATAGAATGAGAGAGTTGTCAAAAGCTGGACTAGTATCTATGCTGCCTACTAATTTTTACA